TTCAATAGAGATCACAGATATTCATTTTTTTAAATATGCTGCTCATTTACATTTATAAACCACAATAAGTCGTACAACACAGCAATCAAAATCCCTAACTTGTTCATAGGGGAAGAAAGTAGGATGTTCATAGAAAATATTTTGGAAATAAAGGGGTCACACGGGAAACTCAGTCAAAATAAGTAACTTAAGATCTGTTAAAAACGTTTGCCACTCTCAAAAAAAGGAGGGAGATATGTGACAAATACGTTTAAGTTCATATGAAGACTGTCATATAGGAGGATAATATCATTCGTAAGAAAATAAGCAAATCGTAACAAATAAACAGTTTTCCCAGAATTAGAGAATCTGGGGTGACTCTGTGTCCCATGCGCTCGCTCCCCCGGGATAATATATTTAATAAAACATTTACAAAAAGTTAATGAAATTGAACACAAAAGTTTCAAGTTTTATGAAAAACAAACATTGAATGAGTTTTTGGAAAATAATCTCCTTTTTTTGCATTGTTTTTTCTTTTTTAGTATCAAATTGTCAGTTCAATATCACCCCTTTTGTTATTCATTTCACCATTGGAATGTACTTCTAAATAACTGAGTATACTTTTCATGAAGTTCCGCTTTTCGGATGATGTGGGGAACAGGAGCTGCATTATTCTTTTCATTTTCATCATCGAGGTCTGCATCCATGACATTTTTTGATCTTTGAACAAACTCTATAAAATGTCTTTGTCTGCCATAATTAGAGCTGCACACACCTTATCATCATCTACTGCAACGAATTCTTCCGATGATGCAGTAGAGCAGTCCAAACGGGCTGTTGTTTTCCGAATTTTTTTCATTCTCGGAAGGGAAATGTTTTCGTGTTAAGCGATTTTCGTTTTGTACTACGAGAAAAAGTTCAGGAAATTACATAGTAGTTTGCCGGGACGGTTGTATTATTTCGTGTTAACCGATATTTCGTCATAAGCTTTTAAGCAGCGTATTTCACTGTTTATTTCTAAATTTAATTTGCTATAAAAGAGCCGAGGAACTTTATATTTTTAAGACATCAGTGTCAGTAAAAAAAGGATAGTTAAATAGAAATGAAGTACAGTAATTTTCCGGAATTAAGAAATAGGGGGATTGAGTTATACCGCGTTAGTCGAATTCGCGTAAGTCGGGGTACAATTTCGCATATAAATACTTATAAATAATTTTTAGTTGGGGCCGGAGACGAAAAGAAAATAACAGTTTAAAAAATTTTTTTAATAACATCTAAGATAACACAAATACAAAATCGCAAACCGAAGGTATTTAGATGTAGAAGGTTTCATAAAATCTAACGAAGTAATATTCGTCGCTGTGAAAAAAAGATTTTTTTCTCACGACATGGAGAATTTTTCCTTTACTTTTTATGACTGAGTAAGTTCCTTTGCTTTTTATAACCTTTTATAATGGAGTATGTGACGGATCTATAAGGGTTCCTTCAATTAATCCTCTTAGGAAATCTTTGGGCTATCAATTCACGTTATTCACAACCAACCCTTTGGAAGAAGATAATCGAGATATTTAAATTAACTTACTATATATAGTCGAGGTTTTCTAGCTTGAAGAGAGAGTAGGAGAGAAGATATACTCGAGTCAGGTGAGATTGCTACTGAAGATATAATATTAAATTATATTGTGATTTGAGACTTATTAGGAGGAAACTTTAAAGTGACGATTGTTCACTAAGTTTGAATTGATATTAGATTTAATAGGATCCTTTATTAAGGTAAGGATCAAATTGAATAGTTTACTAATCGTGTGTGTTCTCTTTTAACCATCGATGTTCCACTTTAGCAGTTAACATTGAGACATTCTCTTACTATTCTTAGTTGAAATTGTGTCTGTTCTTTGTGTGGCAAATAAATATATTAATTGGACCATGTCGAGTGTTTCTTCCCTCCCCCACACACATCTAGGTGCCCGAGAGTGAGGTGCAAGCCTCTCACTAGTAGACAAGCGTTCGAACATAAGACGAATCGACGAGATTTAAAAATCGCGTAACTCCGGGTTCACGCAAATCGAGGTATTACTGTTGTTACTTGATGGCATCAAAAGTCAACACAACTATTTGCCGAAAGACATTTTATATTTCTAGAGTAAACAATAAATAACGACAATCAATATTAAAACGCCCCTTTGCGCCGCTGAATCCGGCAATCAGTTTTAGGAAATATAGGACACTTTCTGGTTCTCAATATTTAATATCAATTCTATGAAGTAGAAGCTAAATTAAGAATGCAACATTTTTTACCTCTAACTTTAGTTTAAAACACTTATGGGCAGCTTAAATTAAAAGACATTAATTTGGAAGATTCGTGCAATGAAAATCCTTTAGAATCATCAGTATCACATGATTTTAATATTACACTATCTGAAAAATATTTTCGTGATGCTCAGCTATATCTTCCTGTTTTAACATATATAGGTAGCTGGTGTTTGTCTAAGAGCAGCACTTAATGAATTAAAATGCGACTTTTGTTCCAAATCACTTGTTCTTAATAAAACTTTTGAATTAAATTCTTACATGATTTAAGACGTTACTTAGACAGAGAAAGTTTATTGAGCCCTTCCCCAGATATTGTCACAGCAGAACTCTAAAAGTATATAAATTAATAGTTCAGAAACTTCTTTCTATGTTCTTTCTTATGTTCCTTAATAAAATAATCAACTTAAAATGCCTCAGAAGTATCGATTAGCTTGATAAGTTCAAATGAATTCTTTTAATATGATGAACCTTGTAACAATCATCAGGCTTTTGAGCTAATTTCAAAGCATATTATTCACACTTCAATAAATTCATTATAATATAACTATTGTAAGAAAAAAAATGCCATTAAGATATTCAACTACTTTCGGAACCGTGATTTTAAAAAAGCGCATAAATGGATAATTTTCATATTTAGTGTCACTTAGAATTGAATACATGTATAAAATTGTTCTATTTTGATAAAAAAAAATTTATTTAAGTACAATATTTCGACAAAAAGTTAACTTAGAATAACCTTTTTTCAAAATGTTCTCCTTTTGTGAAAAATGCTTCGATTATAATAATATTTTTCCTGCACATAGCTCAGAACTCTGTACAGAGACTCAACTAAGATGTTTGAAAAATTCACATTATTTTCAGAGTTACAACCCATTGAAATAATTACCGACGTTTTTTTCTTAAAATTTCTCCCTTCTGTTGTCGTAAAGCATGGATAAACCCTCTTCTAAGTTACATAATTCAAAAATTCTACTTGAACCTCTTCAATATTATTTTTGAAAGAAAACTCTAAATTATATGTATACCAGAGCGTGGTTCCGATCGACGGACCTCAGGGTTATGGGTCTAGCATGATTCCACTTAGCCACTCTGCTCCCGATAACAAACCAATTCTAGTATCTTTAAAAAACGCATGAGTTTCAAAAAAGTTGCAAGAAAACAGCCTCGAATAGGTAAAATATATGACGATGTAATTGATTTATATAAAACTTTTCAAGGGATATGTCGTATAGATAAAATTTTATGCTCCATTTTAAAAAGAAATATTCTAAACAGAAATATATCATATTGTGAATTCAATCCGCAAACTTTTCGTATATCAGACCAGCATGCTTCCACTGCGCCAGTTTGCTCTCGGTTTTAAGCCAATTATAATATCTTAAAAACACGCATTTTTTCGAAAAATATCGCGAAAAAAGCCTCGAATAAAAGTCAAAATATCACGCGAACTAATTAAATTATTTAAAAAGTTTTGCAAGGCATATGTAAAGGGTGTTTTTTTAGAGGTATAGAACTTTAAAATTGCAATAAAACGACGATGTATTATTCGATTGACATGAATTTTTTTTTATTCGAAAGATAATCTTGTGGCATTACATTTTAAATATGATTCCTGGCATAGGACTGCCACGGCTGGCTCGGATGTAGTCCAATCTGGACGTCCAATTTTCGATGACTTTTTCCAACATTTGTGGCCGTATATCGGCAATAACACGGCGAATGTTGTCTTCCAAATGGTCAAGCGTTTGTGGCTTATCCGCATAGACCAATGACTTTACATATCCCCACAAAAATAGTCTAGCGGTGTTAAATCACAAGATCTTGGAGGCCAATTCACAGGTCCAAAACGTGAAATGAGGCGGTCACCAAACGTGTCTTTCAATAAATCGATTGTGGCACGAGCTGTGTGATATGTTGCGCCGTCTTGTTGGAACCACAGCTCCTGGACATCATGATTGTTCAATTCAGGAATGAAAAAGTTAGTAATCATGGCTCTATACCGATCACCATTGACTGTAACGTTGTGGCCTTCATCGTTTTTGAAGAAGGATTCCACCAGCCCATAAAACGCACCAAACAGTCAGTTTTTCTGGATGTAACGGTGTTTCGACATACACTTGTGGATTAGCTTCACTCCAAATGTGGCAGTTTTGTTTGTTGACGTAGCCATTCAACCAGAAGTGCGCTTCATCGCTAAACAAAATTCGCTTATGAAAATCGGGAACAACGGCAATCTCGTTTTGGGCCCATTCGACGAATCTACGCCTTGCTTGATGATCGTTTGGATGAATTGCCAAACCAAACTGAGAATAAATCACTTGACAGCTGTTAAATCGGTCACCATCTTGGAAAGTAATGCCAACTTAAACTTCTATACCTGGAAAAAAAACACTCTTTACTACAAAAAATTTTCAATTTTGTTTTTCAAAGAAAAATTCTAAAAATGTATAGCACAGCGTGGTATCGATCCACGTTCCTCTGGGTTATAGGTCTTGTATACTTCAAATGCGACACTCTGCTCTCGTTTTAAATGTAATTCTAATTTCTTTAAAAAACGCACCATTTATCAAAATATTTGCAAGAAATGGGCCCGGCAAAAAAGAGAAAATATCAGGCGGTGTAATTAATTTATTTAAAAAATTTTGCAAGGCATATTTACTACATAAACTTTTCAATATTATTTTTCAAAGAAATTTCTGAAACATAGATAGCAGCGCGTGATTTCGATCCATGAACCTTTGGGTCACGGGCCCAGCACGCTTCCCCTGCGCCACTCTGCTCTCTATATCAACCATTTCTATTATCTTTAAAAAACGCATCATTTTTGAAAAATATAACGAAAATGGCCTCGAATAAAAGTGAAAATATCAAGCGATGTAATTAAGTAATTAAAAAAAATTTGCAAGGCATATGTTCTACATAAAATTTTTAATTTCGTTTTTCAAAGAAAATTCTAAAATATATATAGCAGAGCGTGGTTTCGATCCACGGACCTCTGGGTTATGGGCTCAGCACGCTTCCACTGCGCCTTCTAGCTCTCGATTTTAAACCAATTCTATAATTTTTAAAAAACGCATCACTTTTCGAAAATCACGAAAATGGCATCGAATAAACGTGAAAATATCACGCGATCTAATTAAGCTATTTACAAAGAAACGAGTCTTACAGTATTCGCATATGATGTGTAACATCTGACATGTTATTTTGGTATAAATACGCAATATTACCTTTTTTCCTCAAAAAATATGAATCGGGTATGATTGGAAATAATTTTTTTTCTTTAATGAAAATTTTATTTAATTAACGAAAAGAGTAAAAAAAAATGCAATATTTTATCAAACATAATTAATTATTCTTGTTCAATTTGGGGAAGAGCGGAAACAATAGACTTATGATAACTAAAATATGACACAATACTTGTGATTTCAAAGTATTTAAAGACCGTTGAAAAAAACAGCGTCAATAACAATACCACTGTTAGCAGTCGAAACATTCTAATTTGTGTTCTTTTCAAGCTCGAGTTCATCATTCATAAAAGCTATGAGCGGATCAGCTTTTGGTAAACTGTAGTTAAAAATCACCACTCAAAAGGGGAAGCAGGTGATAATTCTTTTTAAAAAACAGAACAATCTTCGTTATATGGTGAACGTACAAAATGCAGGAAATCTTTAATTTTTTTTAACAGTTTCATTCGAAGAAATGTATACGACCACCGAAATCACTGTTTGCCCCTTTTCAAATAAGCATTCTGCCGCACTTATGTCTCCCAATATCATGACTAACGGATTTAGAATCAAGTGCTCGAGTGCTTGATGCTACTAGAGTTAGACACCCATGCCAGTGTCAATTTTGTTTTGCAAAGAAAAATTCCAAAATATTAACAGAAGAGCGTGGTTTCGATCCACTGACCTCTGGGTTATGGGTCCAGCCCTTTCCACTGTACTACTCTGCTCTCGATATAAATCATTTCTAATATCTTTAAAAAACGCATCACTTTTTAAAAATCACTAAAATGGCTTCGAATAAAAGTGAAAATATCAGGCGATCTATTTAAGTAATTTAAAAATTTTGCAAGGCATATGTACTATATAAAATTTTCAATTTTGTTTTGAAAAGAAAAATTCCAAAATATTAACAGAAGAGCGTGGTTTCGATCCACGGACCTCTGGGTTATGGGTTCAGCCCTTTCCACTGCACTACTCTGCTCTCGATATAAATCATTTCTAATATCTTTAAAAAACGCATCACTTTTTAAAAATCACTAAAATGGCTTCGAATAAAAGTGAAAATATCAGGCGATCTATTTAAGTAATTTAAAAATTTTGCAAGGCACATATGTACTACATAAAATTTTCAATTTTTTTTTTAAAGAAAAATTCCAAAGTATTTATATCAGAGCGTTGTTTCGATCCACGGACCGATGGGGCATGGGTGCAGCATGGTTCCACTGCGCCACTCTGCTCTCGATTTCAAATGAATAGTAAGATCTTTAAAAAACGCATTACTTTTCAAAAAATTTGCAAGAAATGGGCGCGGCATAAAAGTGAAAATATCACGCGATTTGATATTGTTAGTGTAAAACATTTGCAAGACATATGTCCTACATAAAATTATCAATATTATTTTTCAAAGAAAATCGTAAAATATGGATTGCAGAGCGTGGTTTCAATCCTCTGGGTTATGGGCCCAGCACGCTTCAACTGCTCCACTCTGCTCTCGATATGAAACCAATTCTAAGATCTTTAAAAAACGCATTACTTTCGGAAAAATATCACGTAAATGGCCTCGAGAAAAAGTGAAAATATCACGCGATTTAATTAAGTAATTTTAAAAATTTTCAAGGCATAAGTATTAGATAAAAGTTTCAATTTTTTTTCAAAAAAAATTCTAAAATATGTATAGCAGAGCGTTGTATCGATCCATGGGCCTCTGGGTTATAGGCCCTGCACCCTTTCACTCTGCGCCACACCACTCTCATTTTAAAACGAATTCTAACATCTTTAAAAAATGCATCACTTTCCAAAAAATGTGCAAGAAAGGTCCCTGGCATAAAAGAGAAAATATCACGCGCTGTAATTAGTATATTTTAAAAATTTTGCATGGCATATGTACTACACAAACTTCTTAATATTATTTTTCGAAGAAAATTGTAAAATATGGATAGCAAACAGTGGTTTCAATCCACGGATATCTGGTTTATGGGCCCAGCACGCTTCCACTGCGCCACACCACTTTTGATTTCGAACGAATGAAAATATCTTTAAAAAACGCGCCACTTTTCAAAAAATTTGCAAGAATTGTGCCTGGCAAGAAAGTGAAAATATCACGCGATTTAATTTATTTAAAAAATTTTGCAAGGTATATGTTTTATATAAAATTTTCCATTTCGTTTTTCAAAGAAAATCCTAAAATATGGATAGCAGAGCGTGGTTTCGATCCACGGACCTTTTGGGTTATGGCCCATCACGCTTTCACTGAGCCTCTCTGTTTTCTATTTCAAAATTAGTCTAATATCTTTAAAAAATGCATCATTTTCCAAAAAATCTGCAATAGAAGTGCCTAGTAAGTAGTTATAATATACCGGTTCTGGAACAATGGATCCTGTGGAGCCGGTGGAGCCGCATGCAAACAAAAGTGGGTGGAAGTCCCCCACCCCTCCCCGATCTGAACCGGGAAGATGGTTTGTGATTGATAAGGGTTTCGGGGATCTATACTGATAAGAAATGCACGCTTTTAGCGATAACGAGTTATATTCTGATATAGTTTTAATTAAATGATTATGATTTTTTTAAGTACGTCATTGGAAGCAAATTTTAATTGGGATAAAGAGACAAATTTTTCTGTACATATGATTATTTTTATATCATTCCGTATAAATCTATTTCTGAAAATCATGATATACGTGTTGAATGATTATTTGTTATATTTCAAATTTGATGCTTTGTGCTTGTGATTTCTGAAACAGAGGATTGAAAATTAGGCAAACGAAAGGGAGTGGAAATTCCCCCTCCCGGGTCTGAACCGGGAGGATGGTACCCCCTCCGCTCTGATAAGGGTTTCGGGGCTCTGTAAATGGGTGTTACAAATGCATGTTTTTAGAGATAACAATTTATATTCTTATATAGTTTTAACTAAATGGGTAGAATTCTGAGTTTTTTTAAGTATGTCATTGGAAGCAAATTTTAATTAGGATAAAGGGTCAAACTTTTCTGTACATATAAATATTTGTATATAGTTCTGATAAAGTCTATTTCTGAAAATTATGATATACGTGTTGAATTATTGTTTACTACATTTCAAATTTGATACTTTGTGCACAACTAAAATATATTTTTCATTGATTTTGCATGTATTTCTTTTTATAATTCTGAGATAACTTAAAAAATACTATGCTTATATAATGTAAAAGTTCTGCATATGTTTTTTCGTTTGCAAAGTAGTTTCCTTACATGAAACATCCCTTTCCTATGATACTATATGCGGACCTTGTAATTCTGGTAAAACTTTCTTTGTTAGACGAATCTTAGAAATAAAATTAATTAATTCTTTTCCTCCCAAAATTATTTGGTGTTATGTAATTTATCCAAAATTGTTTGATAAGATGTCTGACATAGAATTTTATGAAGGCATGCCTTTCGATGTAGAAGATATTACTAATGCTTTCGTAATAATAGATGACTTAATGAATGAAGTAGGAGATGACAAAAAACTTTCAAACCTTTTCACGAAAGGAAGCCCTCATAGAGATATTTCCGTAATATTTATTTTACAAAATATTTTTGCAATGAAAAACAAAATATAGGAATATTTTTTAAATACTTCCTACCTAAGTTGTTTTAAAAATGTTAGAGACAAGCAATAGATCTCTTGTCTAGCAAGACAAATGTATCCATCTCAATCGAAATTTATGATAGGAAAACTATACGAAATACAAATGCTGCAAATTTGACTATCCACTTTGTGAGAGATAGAAAAATAAAACCTTTCGTTCGAATCATTTAATGAATTTTTCAAAAGAAAAATTTTTCATAGAGTTTTGTTACGAATAAATATCTTAGAACAAAAATATTGTATGCAAAACCTTTGTCAGGGATAGAATATTAAGTGTGGTTTGTGTTCAACATTTGTTTTAAATTTTTAGTCTGTTTCCCTTCTTGTTCCTTACACTTAAATATATTAATATGCGTAAAGTAATTAAAAAGTTGAAAAAATATTAAAAAAAAAAAAGGTGAAAAGTATTGAAAAAGATGAAAAATATTGAAATATTTAGAATATTGTTGGTGGACTTGAGTATTTAAGTTAAGAGCAATAGTGATAAAATTTCTTTTTTTTTTTCATATTAATCTTAAAATAATAATAACTTTATAAATTTAAATATATGGTAAACTTATAAAAAAATTCAAAGCAAAATCTTATTCATCTTATAATAATAATAATACAAACACAAAAATATGAGAACAAAAAAATATTGTATTTATTCACCTTCTAAAATTTATTCTTACATTATATCATTTCTTAAAATATTGATACAATCTGAAATCCTTCTGTTTGCTACGAACAAATTCATATAAAATATAATTCATTGAAAAGCCTTTACTGATTTTCAACAAGAAAAATATAAAATAATGACCACATAGAAATAAGGAATATCCCTTGGTTAATCCATTTCTCAATAAATAAAGTCCTTCAGATCTCAACAATTTTCCTTTTATAAAACAATGTGCTAACAGAAAACTTAATTTAATCTTATATTTTTTTAAAATGTATTATATGAGAAGCA